AACAATAAAAATATAAACAATAAACGATATCACAATAAACAGTTTAAATCACATGATCGTGAATACTTGTCAACTCATAAATTTATTTATACAGGTAATCTAAATGTTACTGATCTACATGTATTTTTTTATAAGTATAGATGCATTATGCATGATAATTGCTACGAAACAAAAGAAAATGTAATTTAATGCCAATAATCGAATTTATTGTTCATAAAAAATAATTTGTTTTATAAATGTCTGAAAAATTTCATATTTTTTTTTTAGAGAAAAAATGAGTAATCTTAATACTTCGACTTTTCCTGATAATAATAGAGAGACTCCTACTACACCACATATACAAGTTATTCCAGCAAAACGATTAGCAGAAAGTTGGGTTTGGTCATTTATTCAAAAAAAAGCTGATGTTGTCAAATATTAGTTGAAGATGATAATGGTATTAAACATCAATGTAAATGGTCATGTAAAAATAAGACAAATAAGATAAGCACAACTAGTATTGCTAATTATTTAAGAACAAAACATCGAATAATTGAAGGAAGATTTGAAGGAGCAGAAATTTTACCAGATTCAGAAAATAAAATCGAAAATCAAGATCCTCTTGATCAAAAGTTCATTGAATTAATTATGAATGATTTATTAGATTGGTTAATAGACAATATGCAAGCTTTTCATGTGATTAATAATTTTAAATTTCGAAAGTTTATTAATAGGCTTGAATCACGCTATCTCATTTCATGTAAAAATACTTAATATAAAAAAATGAGTGAATCTGTTAGTATTAAAGAAAAAAACTTGTATGAAATGTTAGAAAATACAATGGATACTTTCTTTTTTACAACTGATTTATGGACTCAAAATCATTTACCTTTTATTGGAATTACTATACATTAGTTGACTCCAAATTTAGAAATTAGACAAGTATTACTTACTATCGAAAATTTTAAATATTCACATTTAGGTAATAGTATTGAAGATTGTTTACGCAAAGAGTTTCAAAAATGGAACATTACCTCAAAGTTACTTGGTGGGACAACTAATAATGATGCTTCAATGATAAAAGCAATGTGACAACTAGAAACTAATCATATTCGTTGTATTGCATACACTATGCAACTTGCAATTAAAGATGGGCTAAAAGAAATTAAAATTTAATTGATGCAGCAAAAAAATTGAATAGTTTATAGTTAACCATGACAAATATTGTATTTTATTAAAAGAAACTTTTCTGGAAGTAAAATTAAAAAAAGATAATTCAACAATAAAAATAAATAATCAAAATATTTTAAATCCAATTACATTTGATACTAAAACGTGTTAGAATAGTATCTTTTTTCTATTAGAAAGACTAATTTATTTTCGTAATACACTTCCTGAATTAGCAAATAAGCTTACTTTAAATCCTAATAGAAGCATTCGTTCTGATAGTGATCTTTTGAAAAATTTATTACTTATTACTTAGCTCAGAAGATTGGATAGCATTAGAAGAATTAATATTATTACTTAGACCTTTTGTAGATACAACGAATCTTACTTCAAGTAGCACATACCCAACTCTTTCATTATGGTTTCCCACTTTACATTATTTAAAAGAATATTTAAAAAATATTATACAAACTATCACAAGCCAATCTATCGTAACAGTATGTAATAAGATTTTAGCTTCTCTAAATAAACGTTGGGAACTTTCTCATATGTTGGGTTATATTGCTAGTTTTTTAGACCCTAGATTTAAATATTTAGGTTTTTTATTAGCAAACCAAATTGAAGATACAAAACAACATTTAAAACATCAGATTGAATTATTAGAAACTTCAAAATTACAATCAATATCTCTGATTACTTCTCTTTCTTATAATAATTTTATTTTTATAAATTTTTTCAATCAAAACATGATATTAAAACAATCTAACGTATCCCCAATAGATACAGAAATTTCCCTATACTTACAACTCCCTACTCTTTCTGTAATACCTATAAATCATCCTGAATATCATCTTAATGACCCTTTATAATATTGGCGTAAAAGAAAGTCTACCTTTTCCTTATTGTCTATACAAGCTTGTATATTTTTATCTATACCTGCTACATCTGTTTCATCTGAACGGCTTTTTTCGGATGCAGTCAATATTATTACTGATAATAGAAATTGCTTAAGTTCTAATACTGTTTATGATCTCTTATTTTTAAAAGAAAACAATATCTAGTAGTACTTTATTCAAAATAAGAATTTTAAATTTTTTATTTTACAAAATTAAATAAATAAATAAATAAAAATGAACAAAGCCCATTATGTCAAAATTATACTGTTAATGTATTACCCCTGAAGATCTTAGTTGAATAAGCTAATGACTTAGTCAGTAACTTATCAGTTGACTGTAGCACTATCGGCTTAAATCACTATATCTGAGTCAAGCAAAACTGAGACTCTAACCCGACAGGACTCATAACATAAAATGATAGTCCTGACTCGAATTTTTCTCAAATGATCCAGGTCAATTCAACTGGCTCAGAACACTAATCCAAACATAAGTTTTAATAGATAATAGCAAACCTTCCATATGCTTACTAATTGAAGATATGTAAAAAATAATCATCTGACACATTATCAGTCAATCCAATCGCAGTATGAAAATCATTTTCAGAAATTCATTTAACTTCACTTGTTTCTTTATACTAGAATTAGCAGTGTACGGAGGACTTCGTCCCTCAGCAAACTTAATTTTTTATCATAATTTTGTATATTGAAGGTTTAAGATTGATAAATAAAAATCTTTTTAAATTTTTATATTATAATTTATTAATTGCAAGTTAATATTTAAAATACTTTAGGAAATAAATTAATTTTTTTAATAAACTATAGATTATATAAACATGTATTTTAATTTATAATTATTTACAAAGAAAAGATATTATTTCAGTTTATAAATCTGAGTTGAACTGCATTTAAATTAAAATTGATTATTGTATTGATAGTAGAGTTTAATCAGGTTTATTATTGTATTGATTAAATAAATAAATAAATAAATATTAAATTATGAACCTTTTATGCTAATTTTTTTTTATAATTTGAATTAAATATGGATTTTAAAATCTAAAAATTATAATATTTATAAATCTTTAATTACATTTTTAAATGATTTATAAAATATATAATATGAACTAAAATTTTTAAAATGAATTAGCAATTAAATAATTAAAGCAAAAATAATTTAATAAAATTAAAAGCAAAATAAGAAAAAAAAGTAATTATAAAAAAAAATTAAATATTTATGATAGTTTTGTAAGTATTTATTCAATACTTGCTAAATAACTTTAATTATTCTTAAAAAGCCAGATTCGCTTAACCAAAGTATTAGAATTTATATTTAAAGAAAACATTTATTAAAATAGAAAAAATTAAAATTAATGTTGTTAATAATAGTCTAATTATGATATATAATACTATATCAATATAATTAGTAAATTATAATCCTAACGATTATAAATCTTAACTTTCTAGTATTTTTATTTTCAGTAATTACTATAATTTCTTAATAATCTGTAATTTCTTACATTTTTATAATAAATTTAATTTCTTATAATGTATTTTATATAAATATTCTGTATCTTTTTCTAGTAGAGTTATTACTAATATCTAATAAAATAACATTCATTTTTAAAACCTAAATTTGTTCATTTATAATTCATTCTTTTAATTTATACTAATAAAGATGACTGTCTATACATAAAGTTGAAATAAAAATATAAATTTAAAATGTTTTAGCTTTAAAGATTAAAATTAAAATAAAGTCAAATTAGTCAAAATGATAGCATATCTTATAATATTTAATATATAAAATATTAGAAATATCTATATATATTCTCAATTAATATCACTTCAATACTTATAAAATAACTACTATACTATTCTTTATAACTAGATAAATCTAATGGACTAAATATCTTTCATTTCAAATTATTTAATATCAAGATAATCATCATTGTATTTTAAAATCTGAATCCCTTTATTTTAAGTAGAATTTATTGAATTCTAATTTCAGCTGATAACTTATTCATAATAATCTTAAGCTTAAATGATTTGAAATTAATAATATTTAACTTATTGAATCCATCTAGATGTAAAGAATTAAATAGTAGTTATCTTATAAGAATTAGTGTTGTAACAGTGCAAAATTTTGGCTAAAATCTGCTTACAAATCTAATATCAATTAAATGTCTTTGTTTATCATTTTATCGATCCTGATGTCAACTTTATTCCTAAGATAATCAATGTGAAGCATTATAAATCTAGATGTTTATTTTATTTCTAGTATAATAGACAACTTTATTGACATGATCATCCTTACTGATCAATTTTATCAACGTTATTTCTTTGACAATATCATTTATTTTTCATAAATATAAATATTTAATTTATTTTATAATTATCAAACATTTATAAATACCTTTGTATTTTTATCGAGAAAGGATACCAATAAATAAATCCATTAATTAATACATACTTTAAGAAGGAGTAAGGATAATATTTCATTAGATAAAATTATTACCTTATGACTTTACGAAGTAGAGAACTTATAATTTATTATAAATTTAATAAAACGTATAATTAACTAAGTTAAAACTTATCCTTTGCAACCCTTTAACCTGTATATATATAATTATTGTTTATTAACTTTACTTGGTATTGTATTGATTTATTATATTGACTTAAAGTGTAGTTACTGAAACGTAATCTCTGAAATATCCAGAAGTTACTCGTGTATAATTGAGAATAATCTTTGCCATTTACTACGAATAAGGTTGCTTGTCTAAACTCATTTTGGATTTGGCAAAATGGTAAAACCTTTAGTTTCGCTAAATTTTTACT